GGTTAACAGGCAAATTGCTTTTCATACCGGTCCAACAGGTGATCATTTAAATTTTGTTGACTTAATGTAGGCTTTCGAATTGAACTTCGTAACTAAAATTAGACCATAATAAACCAATTAAAATTATTATTTAAAAATTTCTACTTTTAATTAAATATTATTAATTAAAGAATTAAATGACTCTTTATATATACTAAGTTTTAAGACTAGTTGGATTTTTAGCTCTATATGTAATAAAATGAAAAGTTAAGTGCATTTTTGTAGTTAAATTAAACTATAAATTTAGGTACATTAAAAGCCTGATCTTTTATATTGCATTGATCTTTTGGGTTTTTTTGAACGTATAATAGATGTTGGGATTATTCTGAATTTTATAACATTGAGTCATTTGACGGTCGCTAAATAAATGAAGGAAATTGGAATGTAATGTGAAAATGTACAAATGTTTGCATATTTCCCTTTTTTGTTTGTTGATGCTTTAATTTTTGGTATGGTTGGGAGTATGAAATTAATGATTTGAATGAATATTTCAGTCGGGGGATTAATGAACGCGACTTGTGGAAACGCGACGGAGATGATAATAGCGATACTAGCGGTTGGACAAAAGAAGATGAGAATAGTGAAACTCTCACTTCTTGGCTCTATTCTCTCAAATCTTCTCTTCGTCTTAGGCACTTCTCTCTTCTTTGGTGGTCTCTCTAATCTCCGCAAACACCAGTTTTTCGACCGAGTAAGTCAATATAGAGTTAATATCTCTTCAATTTTTTCTTCTAGAGTTCATGAGATTTCATTTGCAAAAATGTTATGTTATGTTCGTTTTGTGGACTCTCTAATTGATTAGTGTATTATAAGAACAGAAACAAGGAGATATGAATTGTACATTGTTGTATTTGGCACTATTGTGTCAAACACTACCAATGATTTTGAGATTGACAACAAGTGATCAAGATCAAGATGGACCAGTTGTTGTTGTGTTGTCAAGAGCAAGTAGCTTCGTGATGCTCTTTGCTTACTTGGCTT